TTTTCCAATCACTAAGCCCAATCTAACTTAGCTGATTGCTCCTTCCTGTGTTTCCAAAAAGGCGACGGCAGAAGTAAATAACACAGTCCTTGTTTTCAATGTAGACAAGCCATGATCTGCTTATCTGTTCTCCATTTTTCATTTGAACAGCAGACAATATAGAGAAGAGGAGGCGGGGTTATGAATTTACTTGATCTGGAGTACAGAGTTCGGTGCTTTTATATGTTATTGCCAAAGTCTCCAGTAGCAGAAAAGAGTTGCTAGATTGGGCACTAGGCACTTTTTGAAATAAAAGTGCTAAAGGGGTCTGAAAAGTCTCTAAATATAGTGACAAAAGCACTAAGATGGCAACGCTGCTCTTTGCACTGTTTGTTTTCAGATGGTTGTTTGTTTGGACCTTTCTGAACATGTGCAGCAAATGTGGGGGACACAGGCGTCCTGATGGCATTTTAACGAAAGGATTTTTAGCAAAAACATAATTAATGTGCACAAATAAGTAATAGTTGTATTAACCATACATGTACCCCGCCTCTCGCCCGTAGACAGCTGGAGATAGGCACCAGCACCCCTCGCAACCCCACTAGAGTCTCAGATAATGGATGAATGGATGGTAAAAGGAGTTTAATAGGGCCATCAGGAACTTGGGGCCCTAGGCAACTGTTTAGTTTTGCCTAATGGTAAATCCCCCCCTGAAGATGACAAGTGATCCAAAGAATCTGATTGGTTGGAATGTGGACTAATTTCAAAGAACCTGGATCCATCTTCATCAGCTTTAGTTTAAAATCTAAAACACCAAGAAATAACAAGGCTGGTCACGAAAGGTATCCAGAGTATACATGCCCTTTAAATGACGGCACTGAGATGCTTAGTTTTCCTACATTATTATCCACTATAATACATCATACATTGCCAGAATAGTCCAAAATCATATTTACTTTCCTGCGATTTAGAATCAGAATTGCATCTATTTCCACATCTGTAATTCTGATACCTCTAAAATAAAAACAACGGTACCTTAAACTAAACTCAGATCGTTTTTAGCTTCAATAGCTGTTTTACACTTATAAACTTGTCATAAAATACAAGTTAGTTTGTTATCTCAAAGCAGACCAAGTTACGGAACTATAGATCCACGTACATCTAATATAAATGAAGTTTTTAAAGTCGTCAAATTTAGAATTTTATGTTTCAATGTGTGTGCATTCCAGAAAATTGATGAATGGATGTGTGTGTGCATTCAATTAGCAAGTCAAAAATGCAGATTCTGAAGAGTAAAATGAAAAGAAACCAGATACCAGTATGTTGATATATCAGCTATAAAGCATGCTATTTCAACATACATGCATGCAAAAACAGCTTGAATATTTAGGCAAGTAATTGGATTTCTATTGAAGAATATAAGCAGGAAAAAGTCAGGAAATGACAAAAGATGCAACAGCTCTGTAGGTTTGAGCAGGAAACTATTGAAAATCATGTGGCATGATATTCAAGTGGCAAGCTGGATTTATTCACTCCAGCTATTATAAAGCATCTGCACAACATGGGTGATGAATATATTATTTTAGTTCAGTAATAAAGTTAGTTTTAAACCCAAATAATCTGGTTAATCAAGGTCAAATTCACTGAATCATGTGCAGTTACTAAAGTAGATAACTAAAAACTGATCAAATATTTCCTTTAGATTGCAGCTGGCTTTATTCTCATCAGTGTTTTTAGCAGTTGGCTCATTATTCAACGTGTGTATTAAATATATTTTATCTTTTGCTGCTCTGTTGGCAGTGACAGCCCTGACTGCAGACTCCTTTGGGAAATCAGCCCATTTCCTGTTGTATTGGAGGCAGAGGAGCACAGAGTGGAGGGAGAAATCGAGTGGGTACAAAGAGGCTGCTCTACAGTCATTTAGTCAAGCTGTACTTTTCATCCTTCCTGTGTGAGAAATGGGGTCAATGTAGCTCCAACACCACAGCACCTGGTGTTGAGTGATGTGAAAGCCCAGCGGCTTTTCCTGACTGTATCGTCTCTGCTTTAAAGAAAAGTCCAACTGGAAACATTTCCCTTTTATTATGAGAATATATTTTTAGAGAATTAAGCTAAATCATAAGTCCTTCTGTTTTGCACAATAAAACAAAAAAACTCTGCTGTACATTCAGCTGTTGTCATGCTCTTGTGAGAGATGCAGCAATTGTAACATGTAGAGTAAATAGAAAAGAAACTTATTTAACCCATTACTCTTGAATCGGGGCACATCATGTCCAATCATATCTAATTAGAGATTTTTTTTCCCTACGGCTCAGATTTTAGACTAAAACATACTGTCCCTAAAGTTGCTTTTCAGCCTCAAACTTAATGACTTAATTTACCTGTACCCATCATCCTCCAGAACCGGGTCACAGGGGGGCAGCAGTCTCAGCAGGGGCTCCCAGACACTTCCCTCCCCCCAGGCACCTCCTCCAGCTCCTCTGGGGAAAGACTGAGGGGTTCCCCGGCCAGCCTAGAGAAATAGTCCCTCCATCATATCCTGGGTAGTCCCCTGGGCCTCCTCCCAGTGGGACATGCCTGGGACACGCTGAGGTGACCCGGCTATCTGTTTTAGATGCACCATGGATGCCTCCCTCAGAAGGTGTTCCAGGCATGCCTCTCAAGAGGAGGTCCAGGGCATGGAGCAGGACTCTAGGTTCCTCAGCTGACCCTGGAACACCCAGGTTTTCCCCCAGTGTAGGCAGACAATTTATGTTGATGGTATGGATTTACCTTAAAAGGTCTTTTATTTTGAAAAATGTAGTTTTTCATATGTTCTTTGCCACTTTGGTTCAACCTGTAGTTCAATTTCAGACCTACAACCTGCCTTTTTTTTACCCATTTAATACTGTACTTAAACTACCAACAAGAGTTCAGTTTTTATTCTTGCATATGTATCTAAAAATCTAATCTGATATAAAACAAATGTACAGTATTTAATGTGGAAGCTGGTCTTTTACAGCCATTATGCAAAAATCTATATTTACATTGTTTTGTATTTTTTATCAGTAGAAGCACAGCAGTAGACAAATCCCTCAGAAGTCATTCCCAGATTAAAACTTAAACTTCCAGATAAATCAAAGTGATATGTAATGCTTAAATTATACTAATATTTCATAAAGATGAAGTTAATAAAATAATAAAGTCAGTATTCAACATGAGGTATGTATTATTTAACTGCTGTTGAGCAAATCTGACCTTTCAGTGTAAAGCAACCAACAGAGGTAAATAAGGAGTTAAAGGTAATTATCTAAACTGATGAATTAGATCATATTTAGAAAACAAATAATGCTCAAACTTTAAATACATAAAGAAGAAAATTAATGAAATAAACTTCTTACTAAACACTTGTGAGAAGCTGAGAGCATTATGATATATTCTGCTGATTTTGTACTTGATGAAACACAGTGGAACAACATTAGCAGATCACATGGCTCTTTCAGTCATCACTGTCCTCACGTTAAGAAACTTCAGCTTTGTGTAACTGGGAACTATGACTTTTCTATTAAATGCTGGATTAATCATGGTCAGAAAATGCAATGATTTACCAATGAGCAATATTCCACTCCTAAAAATTAATAAAACACTGCTGATGGTGCCACTAGGTTAGGAGTAGCTTAACACAAGATGTTGTATCCCATATTTTAGATATGTAGCCTATATGTGTGCCATGCTACATCTTTGTCCCCAGGTTTTCCTTCCACTTAACTTTTTCTTGGGTCTGGACAGGGCACTCTGGTGAGGGCCGGCTTCTTTAACAATAACTGGTTTACCTTTTTTTGTTGTAGATGATGTCAGTGTGAGAGAACACTCAAGTCCATAGTCATCCCAGTTGTAACATTTTACTGTAATTTGGTCATGTTTTATTTTTTACTGTGTGAAGCTGAGTCTTGGATTGGCATGAACTGGAAGAAATGATCATAACTGCATGCAGAACACAAACTGTTCATGCATAAAACTGTAGTTATGGAATCATTTAATAAAATATGGTTTTATGTTTTCATCTAAGCACCTGTATTCTGTACATTTCAAACGTGAACAGGGTTTCCTGGTTTTGTCAAACTTCCCAACATTGCAGACACAAATCTTTCTGTTTTAAACCGACTTTTTTCAGGGGCTGAGCTAGATGGGGGGCCAGGGGTGGCCATGGCCAGCCATGGCCAATCATTGGCCACCCCTGTGGCCACCCCTACCATTTATATCCCTCTAATACAGATGGTGGCAACAGTAATACTCTCAAGTGTAATATTCAAAACATTTAAAATTTTTGTGGTTATTTATACACATCATTATACTAACATTAAAGACAAGCACAGAATGCATGTTCCTTTCAGAGCTAGATTTTGTGTTACATGAGGTAAAGACAAAATCATGTGTCTCTGCAAGTCACCTAAGAGTCTTCAGTGAAATCATAGATAAAAAACAATTTTAATAAAAACTTATCAAATAATCCATTTATGTAGATATTAGTGCTTGTAAATATACATTTTATATGTTTAGATATATGCGTCTATTTGTTAGCAAAGGCTCTAGGAAAGTATAGTTTGTCTTTATTTAAAAAATATGGATGTTTTGCTCATTAATTTTCCTGTTGGAATAGTGTAGATTGACCCTGCGGTTCTGGAGCCTCTCCACTTTCAGCCCCCCTCAGTGTACATTGGTTATTGTCTGGCCACCCTTATAAAAAAAATTCTGGCTACGCCTCTGACTGTTTTATAATAAGTTGAAGTTTTAATTACATCATTCTCTCAGTTTCTTTTTTTCTGAAACACTGAAGCAGGATCACTGCATGTGTAAAATGCTAAAACCCCAACAATCTGCCCCTGCTTATCTTATTTAATCATTTTAAATACTCTGGAAGCCAAAATAAATGTACACAGGTACAGATGGAGATGGTATGTGGGTGTTTTTTATTACTGCATTAAGGGAATGGTATAACATTTTAACATCTCCTTTGTTTCTTTCATAGCAGATATGCTTACCTGGTTTAGTTAGTTGCTCTGAAAACGCATGTGGATGCAACCCTGAGAAAAGCAGCCAGCATCCTTACAGCGCAGGGATGGGGCTGCAGCGGCACTTCTCCAAGGATGAGCCGGAGTCCGGGGCGCACTGCGCCGCTTCTAAGCCAAAACCAAACCCCCCCGCCGTGGGACCAACACGCAGCAGACCAGGCTGACCTGCGTGGAGACACCCACACCCGGAGGAACACAAGCACGGTGCAGCAGACGGGTCAAATACAGGGGAAAGAGGACGGGGGCGCCTCTGGAAGAGCCCCCTTTTACGCGCATGTAGCCAGTATGACGGGCTCACATTCAAATCCACTGATGGTAAACAGAAAAATACTGAAAATATTATAAGGAAATACAGATCCAACAAGTGAGGGACTTCAAGGCAAAAACTAAGACCACCGGAGAGGGGACAGGAGGAGGAGGAGGAGGAGGAGGAGGAGGAGGACCCTCTCTCTCTCTCCCTGGCAAAAACGTGATCTCCTTTATTACACAAGCCTGCTGCAATGTAAGGAAAGTAGCCAAATTCCACACTGTTGGAAGTTTTATCAGAATCTGAAAAAAAACTATTTTTATAAGTATTTTCTCTATAAATGTAATATTTCCAAGTTGAAAAATTAACCAAAGGTACACGAGATTAGACTTTTAAACTAGAGGGAGGTTTTCTACCAACCCCAGTATCAATTAATGATATGGATCCATGCAGTTCAAACCACATATCCATTTTAATTCAGTTAAAATGTCCAATTTGCCTACTGCCAAAATAAGATATCATTTTTAGTAGGGGATATCATGCAGGGATGTGGACTTTGATGAATCTGAATCACCCATGGGGTGAAGCTGAATGATCATTTTAATATGTTGCATGTTTGACCAAATACATGATATCCAGCCTTTATACCAGTGTTTATGTTTTCCACTGTCACCGATGAGCCAAGCTTCAAAATGCAAAAGAAGGCAACCAAAACAGAGGACACAGATCAATTAGAAAATTTCAACCAAAAACAAAACTCAAGGAGATTTAAAATAGGACTGAATAGTAGGCGGCCCCATCACACTTATTAATCACTGTGTTCAGACATGCTTGAATCACGTGTTTGGTGTTGAATGTGTCATCAAGGACATCCCTGCTCTGGAACCAACAGTCTTTTTGAGATTAACATTCCTACTAATTTTATCAAAATGTTTCGTGTTAGGGAACACCAGCTCCTGGAAGAAGTCCTCTGTCCTAAATGCAAACATAAAACATTTGACCAGCTGATAAAGAGCGTTTTGGGTGTATTTTTATTTTTTATTTAACCAGGAAAAAATCCCATTGATATTAAAAACCTCTTTTTCAAGGGAGTCCTGACCAAGACGCAGCAAAGTTACATAATACACAGATATGCATTAAATTAAATGACAGGTACATAAGTAAAACAATCACAGATAATTGAGGCTACTTCAAATTCTTTCATTTTCAACTTAAAGCATTTAAGGATAAAATCTCAGTCAGCTTCCAGTTTCTTTGTAAAAAAAATTCCACACACAAGAAGCTTTCTTCTCTAGTTCTGTGCAGGCAAAAGGAACAGTGAGCAAGAGCTGATCATTGGATCTCAGGGCGTAAGAAGACATGTTTTTCTGTGTTAGTAAAATACAAATGTAAGAGGGCAGTAATCCAAGGAAAACCTTGTAAATAAAAGTGTAACAATGCCACTGCCTTCTCGTAGAGAGGGACGGCCATCCCACCTGAGAGTACAGGTCACAGTGATGTCATGGCTCTACAGTTTGCGATGAACCTTAATGAAGCACGGTAAACAGAGTCCAACATTTGAAGAGTAGTAGCATTCCTTTAAAAAAGGTCACCATAATCTAAGAGTGATAAAACCGTGGCAGAGAAAAGGTCTTCTTTTACTCCAAGGTTAAATACTCTTTTCATTTGCCTTAATTTTTTTTCTTTACTCCTCTTTTTCTCCACACACATTTGTAAACTTAACCTACACCCTAGTGAGAATTCGGACTGTTGTTCATTTCTATCCACACATATATAAACACAGTATATAGCAGGCTTTTGCTCAGAACATTTCCCTTAAAAAAGTCAGTTGGCTGATGCCACAATGTAAAATAATACTACAGTAAAACCACAAACAGAGACTGCCAAGCTACAGTAATTGATTTGCCCTCAATCACTGCTCCCTTAATCTACTTACTGTTGCAACCAAGTCAACGCAAATATCAATAGAGAAGGAAGGTCTGGCTGACTAAACAGGGCTTCTGCTTGTGCTACAAACCAGCACAGGCACTTAGAGATTGATGTTAGAGAAAAGCTGAGGAGATGAGAATGGTAGAAGTTTGTGATTCACACAATTACAGAAAGCTGCAAGAGAACAAAACAAATATAAGGGTGGGTGGAAGGAAGCAGGATATGAGAAGTGTTTGTATAAGATGGTGCAGGTTCTCCCAACAGGATAATGAATTTGACCAGATCTGGCATATTTTCAAGTTAAACAGTTTTATTCTTTTTTTTTTTAATGGGTCCTCAAATTCAGCCAGCTTAATGCAAAGGGATACACATCACTTCAAATATCGTAAAGCTGCCATAAGTAATGCTGGCATCAAACACCTCAACAAAACGGACCCTGATAAAGAAAAGTTTGAAAAGAAAGTATGAAACTACTGACTGCAACATTTCATTGAACAAAAGGTTATTGATAAAACACATCATCTTTGTTCAGATTACCGTATGTCAAAAAAGGTTTACAGCCGGTAAAATAAGCCGGTAAAAGAATTACAGCCGGTAAAATAAGCACTGAACTCACAACAGTTTTTCTCAATAAATATATTTCTAGAGGTACTATTGACATTTTCACCAGATGTAAGAATCCATGTAATCCACACATACAAAGAAACCATAGATGTCCAGAAATTAAGTTATGTGTAATAATGTGGAATGACACAACGAGAAAGTTTTTAACATGTGAAGAAGGCGGGCGCAAAAGGCATGGAAAGCCAAGACAGCAGCTGTAATCTCTCAGTAATCAGAAAGCTGTCTAAGTCTCCTCGTCAGTGCAAATTAATATCAGCTGGTTCAGTTGGCCTTAAAAAGGTGTCTCTGGTATCACACAACATCTCATGATTGGTAAAAGTAAGAAGCTTTCTCAAGACCTACACAACCTTAATGATAGCATTGGTTACAGCTTCTAAATTTTGAATTTAGCACTGTTGGGACCATAATTCTAAAGTGTAAATAACATAATTTCACCATAAACCGAGCACGACCAGGTGCTCCTCGCAAAATTTCTTAGACTCGCATCTAAAAATTCCTCTGACTAAAGGGACTGCCTTTGGATAAAATGATGAACCGACGAGGTATCCATGAATAGAAATGAATTGGATAACATGGAGACATAAAACCAGCCGACACGAAACAGAGAACTGTTTCCTATTTCAGTAGTAATCAGAACCGTAACGATACCTTAAGACGTTATTTCTCAGAACTCAATATGTGAAGGAACCCTGCCCAGTGCAGACACAGCTACAGTAGAGCATAGCCATATTTCATGGCCGTTTCTTTTATCTCATATCGTCATATATCAATAAAATAATAGCACTGGATGTAGGAGCAGGTGCAGACTCAGTATCTGAGCATCAGATTGCTGGGTCAGTCAGCAGTGACCTTCCCTCTCATTATCCCTGCCTGCTCTTAGTATTATAAGATTACATTTTAGCCAGACTGGATATGCATGATGTTGCAGGAGATGGATGACAGAAAAGTTTCAGGTGTCTCTGTGTTTAAATGACGGTGACCCAGAGAACATAGCCTTCAATCCAACAAATGTAAGGTCAGCTGTAAGGGCTTTTCATAGTTACAGCTTATTGTCGTTATGAAAGCTGGTGAAAATAAACACAAAGCCCAGCACAATGAAAAGACCATGCCAAATTCTCCCCGGTGCATGTTTGATATTTCAATCCATTACTGAGATGCTTGATGTTGAGGGGTATGAACTGCACAGCTGTGTAGATACTGTATGTAACGAAAGCATATACTATAGCTGTGAACTGTACAGATTTCCAGTGTTGCACAGATGGCTTGGTCTCCATGGTAGCCTGTAGAGTAATGGGTCACAGTGTGTGTGCATCAACAAAGCTAATGTTATTTCCTGTGTGGATGCAGCACTGATCTGATGTTTATCAGGACGCAGTCATCTCTGGTAAGAAACTGGAAACAACATCCACAATAAAACAACAGGAATATGTTTGCTTGTCAATTTCCTTTTCAAATCAGAAATTATTTACTGTAGAGACATGTAAGACTGCTTTGCTGAAATAAGGAGTTTGACAGCCTAAACACAAAGATAATTCCCAAATTCATTATTATCAGAGCGGCTGCCTTCCAGCGAATTAATCAACATAATCTATCTAGAGGTGTTCAAGTATGAAGGACTGCAGCAGCTCCTCCTGACTAACAGCAGCTGTGATTCAAGATCAATTTGTTACTTTATGGACTTTTTTACAGGCAAACATATTAAACTATCACTTTTAAATGGGATTTCAGGGAACACCAAGACAATAACAATGTCATCTGTTGCCTTCTGGTGTGATTATGCCCGCAAAAGACATTAAACTTTTTCAAAAGATTTTTTAACTTTCATAAAAGGACGGAGGACAATAGGAAGTGACATACTCTAGCTACAGGCTTCAGATCTTGGATTTTGTCCTCTTAAACTGAGAAGGTCCTTTGAATAAAAGTACAATACATTTTCAATTATAAAATCTGAAGTCTAATTGTTTGCATATTTAGAGCTTTTTGGAAATGACCATGCCCTGGATGACCATAGCAATAAACTTAACTGATGGTGGGGAAGGTTTAAATAAAACTATTATTTTCTGGTGTTTTCAATAGTTTGGTCCAAATGACAACATGCAGAAGTGATTTAAATTAAAATGGCCTTGCCTGGACGATAGAACCTGGAAAGAAAATATCGAGAACTTAGATTAATCATTCAGTTTTTAGTGAGTAAGGTCTCATACTGTAAGTTCTGCACATGCCAGTGTTACATGTGTGACATAGCAATAAAACCAGGATGCCACCAGTGCAGAGCTTCATTAACACTGGCAGCAGAGAGGGGAAGGTTTATGTGACTTTTGGTTGAGAGAATTTCTGAAAATCTTAGCACTAAAGACTCAAATTCTGCAAACAGAAAAATAGACATTCTAGACTGGTGTAAAGTTCTCTGATGCCTATTCCAGATTGCTCACCACATCTGGAAAATATTTCATCTAAATAAGAAAATGTGAATGGCTTCTGGAGCCCTGCACCTTCGCAACAGCAAACATCCTGAAACAATGCACACTGCAAAAACAATCTAGAAATAAGTAAAGATTTCTTAGATTAAGTGTA